TCCCTTGCTGCTTTTAATAACTTTTCTTTGTCTTTAATTTTTGCCAAGTTGATTACTATGTGTCTTGGTGTGTTTCTCCTTGGATTTATCCTGTATGGGACTCACTGCACTTTCTGGACTTGGGTGGCTATTTCCTTTCCCATGTTAGGGAAGTTTTAGACTATAATCTCTTCAAATATTTTCTCAGGTCCTTTCTTTCTCTCTTCCCCTTCTGTGACCCCTATAATATGAATGTTGTTGCATTTAATGTTGTCCCAGAGGTCTCTTAGACTGTCTTCATTTCTTTTCATTCTTTTTTCTTTATTCTGTTCTGCAGCAGTGAATTCCACCATCTGTCTTCCAGGTCACTTATACGTTCTTCTGCCTCAGTTATTCTGCTATTGATTCCTTCTAGTGTAGTTTTCATTTCAATTATTGTATTGTTCATCTTGGTTTGTTTGTTCTTTAATTCTTCTAGGTCTTTGTTAAACATTTCTTGCATCTTCTCGATCTTTGCCTCCATTCTTTTTCCGAGGTCCTCGATCATCTTCACTATCATTATTCTGAATTCTTTTTCTGGAAGGTTGCCTACCTCCACTTCATTTAGTTATTTTTCTGGGGTTTTATCTTGTTCCTTCATCTGGTACATAACCCTCTGCCTTTTCATCTTGTCTCTCTTCCTGTTAATGTGGTTTTTGTTCCACAGGCTGCAGGATTGTAGTTCTTTTTGCTTCTGCTGTCTTCCCTCTCACACATTCATTTATTAAAGCATGGATTTAATAATTTTTTGAACACCTACTACCTGGAAGGCACTGAGGATAGAATAGTGAGTAAAAACAGATGTGGTCTCAACTACCTGAGAGAGTTCTCTTCATGACTATATAGAGATGTAAAAGGGATCTCTCCAATGACACTGCCTGAAATATCACCCTTGAGAGAGAACAATGGTTTGAGAATCAGATTTAAAGACAACGAGTCATTAAAGAAAAGGGGTTGTAAATAAAATAAATGGAGAGACAAAGTTTCATGATAGAATAAGCATTTAAAAATGACCATTGTTTTCTAAATTATTTTCTAAATCATTGTTTCTAATAATTTTCTAAATTATTTGGAACTAAGATCAGAGTTCCAAAAAGTCACCATTTTCCAACTTCATTAATAATCAAAGAAATGTAGATGAGAAGTTTACTTTTTAAAAAAATTACAAATTGATAATAACATGATAAATCATAGTTTCTAATAGTGGACTCAGCTCATGATTCCAATCCCATTTTTTCCCCTTGTTTTTTTAATGTCAGTAGCAAAATATTCAAATTCTCAGCCTCCTTACTATCTAGAAATTGCCATGTAACAGATGCTAGTGAACAGAAGTCTAATTTCTCTTTGTGCCTTATTTTTTCTTCTTTTTCCCTGAAATACAGATATGATGATTGGAGGGACATTAACCATTCTGTGTTCATGAGGCTGAAAAAAGTATATATACAAAGGATGGTGAAGCAGGAACATCAAAGAAGTTAAGTACCCTCTTGAGACTGTTGTTTCTCACATCAGTCCTCCATTGCCTACCCCTGGAAATTTTGTTTTGTGATAAATAAACCCCTCAACTATTTAAGCTGCTCTAAGTTTTTCTATTTGCAGCCAAATATAATCTTTGACTAGGGGTTCAAGAAACGGACTCTTTTAGGACAGATTAGTGGTTGCCAGAGGGGAGGGGGCTTGGGGGAGCAAAGTAGGTGAAGAAGATTAAGTACAAATTTCCAGTTATAAAAAAAGCAAGTCATGGGGTTGTAATGTATCGCATGGGTTATATAGTCAATAATATTGTATTAACTTTGTAAGGTAACAGATGGTAACTAGACTTATTGTGGTGACCATTTTGCAATGTACATAAATGCTGAATCAATATGTTGTACCCCTAAAACTAATATAATATTGTATGTCAATTACACCTCAATAAAAGAAAAAGAAAAAGAAAGAAATGGACCCTTTAAATCTCTACTGGTAGAAATAAAAATTGACACAAAGTTATCAGGCAGATAATATAGATAACTTCAAAAATGTTTATAGATGTCTTTATTCTAAATCTTGGCTCCCTAAATTCACCTGGTCCTTGGAAAGTTACCCATATATCTGAGTCTCAGTTTCTTTAACTGAATACAGATCATACAGATAATAATAAAATACAGATAATAATGGTAAAGTCCTCACATATTGTTTTTTAAAAATTAAATGGAATAACATTACACCCCTTATAAGAGTGCCCAGCTTATGCTAACTGCTTGATACATACTAGCTATTATTATATTTTATTCTTGAGAGTTTTGAAAAGTCTACTTCAATTCAACTTCACTCACTCATTAAAAAGACATTTTTGGGCCTTTCTGCTGCTGAAGAATCATTGTGCCATGCATTGTGATAACTCTGAAACAGATGTAAAGAAAACAAAGACATGTTAATTGAGTTGTAGAGTGCAGTGGGAAAGAGGGAAAAGTCAGGGGAATGGCAGCGGGGAGACATCCATGTAAGCAAATAATTCAAGCACTATGAGTACACATTTTTTAACATAATTTAAGAGACTAATGCATTAAAAACATTATTAGTTTATGTTTTTGGACACACAATGTTAGATGTAATTTTGTGACAACAACAACTGAGGGGTGGAGAGCTATAAAGGAACAGAGTTTTTATATGATATTGAAGTTAAGCTGGTATAAATTCAAATATGATGTTATAACTTCAGTATGTTACATGTAATCTCCATGTAAAGCACAAATAAAATAGCCATAGGATATACACAAAAGGAAATGAGAAAAGAATTTGAGTGTTTCACTCCAAAAACTTTTTAAACTAAACTCAAAAGAAGACAGTAGGGCTTCCCTGGTGGCGCAGTGGTTGAGAATCTGCCTGCCAATGCAGGAGACACGGGTTCGAGCCCTGGTCTGGGAAGATCCCACGTGCCGCGGAGCAACTGGGCCCGTGAGCCACAACTACTGAGCCTGTGCGTCTGGAGCCTGTGCTCCGCAAGAACAGAGGCCGCGATAGTGAGGGGCCCGCGCACCGCAATGAAGAGTGGCCCCCGCTTGCCGCAACTAGAGAAAGCCCTCACACAGAAACGAAGACCCAACACAGCCAAAAATAAATAAATTAATAAAAAAAAAAAAAAAAAAAAAAAGAAGACAGTAATGCAGGAGAAGAGAAATGAAAATCTATAAGACATATAGAAAACAAAGCAAAATGACAGAAGTAAGTCCCTCCTTATCAGTAATTACTTGAAACGTAAATGGATTAAATTCTCCAGTCAAAAGATAGAGATTGGCAGAATGGATTAAAAAATCATGATCCAAGTTTATACTGTCTCCAAGAAACTCACTTTAGATCTGAAGATGCAAATGTGTTGAAAGTAAATAAAAGTGAAAGGAGGGAGAAAGATATTCCATGCAAATATTAACAAAAAGAGGGCAGGGTCAGTACACTAATATCAGACAAAATAGACTTTAAATTTAAAAAAGTTGCAAGAGACAAAGGACATTATATATTAATAAAGTTTCAATACAGCAAGAAGACATAGCAATTATAAACATCTGTGCAACTAATAATAGACCATTAAAATATATAAAGCAAAGATGGACATGATTGAAAGGAGAGATTGTTCTACAATAGGCATGCAGCCCCAAAGGGAAAGGGGTGGGAGACTTAATCATCAGACCAGAACAGCCCCTGAGTTCTCCTTCCAAGGGGTGGAGGGACTTTTCCTTTTCTCCCTCCCTCGATGAGCTTCTTGGAATGAGGACTTCCCTGCTAAGTTGGGATCCTGTGCTTGCTTTGTAAACTCCCTGGGGATTGCTGCTGAGTCCTTTAGGAGGAAAGCCCAGTGATGCCACTGCCCACATATTTTGCTCAGTGGAGACAAGGACTTTGGTTTTCTCAGGGCCAGCCTAGGCTCAGCACAGAATCATAGACTTAGAATTTATCATGAAGTTCATTTACTTCCATGGGAAACAATATAAAGTTACAAAATTAAAAAAATTGCCAATTGAAGATTAAGAAGCAAAAATAGAACATCTGTTATCAGTATTGATAAGTTGATAATTGCATGTGGTTATATATGAGGATATCCCTATAAGGCAAATACACACTTATCTAGGGGAAAGTGTCTTCATGTATGTAACTTACCTCAACTTGTTCAGAAAAAATTGTGTTTGTTTATGCATAAAGAGAGAGGGCATACATGATAAAGCAAATGGGGTAAAATACTAACAATAGGTGAATCTAGGTAAAAGTTATATATGTTTTTGTGTTATTTTTATTTTTGCAATGTTCTGTAAATTTTCAATTATTTCTAAACAAAAAGTAAATGAAAGATGACATGACAATGTGAAACATGTCACAATCTGGGTTGGGACAAAGTCCAGTAGTAGGACAGGGGAAAAATCCATCAGCTTTGCCTGTGGGCGGGCGTGTCAGGGAAGGCTTCACGGAGAAGTTTCAGGAGAGACTTGAAGGATGCCGTCTTCACAGAGATGTGTGAGTCACTGGAGCATCTGACTGAGGTGGGAGCAGGACAGGTTGCAGGGAAGAACCGTAAGGTCCCATCCATCCTGAAAGTCTGTTACAGAATGTAACACTATATGTGCTCTGACCCAGCAGGTTTCCCCCTCCTCAGACGGTGAGTGTCACCAGTGTGACCAAGGGCACTGCTCCCTGCCCCTCCAGCCAGTCACACATTCCTTCTCAGTGCCAGGGTTCAATTCCCAGGGACCTTCAAGGGAAGGACTCCTGAGGGAGGGACCTGCAGCCTGAAGTGAGCAGGGCTCAGCAGGGCCCTCATGGTTTGCTCTCCCCATAAAGGCTCAGCACTTCACCCACCTCAGGACTCTCTGCAGAGGTGGTAGCTCTGAGTCTCCACTTGGCTGGGAACTCTCAGCTCCTGGCACCTGTGAGGAAGGAAGGAGGGAGCTCTCCGTGCTGTGAGGAAGGTGTTTCTGAGTCTGAGACAAGATCCGAGTGTGTGGGGAACCATGATGCCAGCTCAGGTCTGGCCTTGGTCTCAGAGATGGGAAGTTTCAGAGAAAGGAACCCATGGCCCCTTAAGGATTTGTAACATTGGATAGAGGTGGGGGCTATTCCAGGAGGTTCCAGAATGTTCATAAGCCCATCACTTTCCACTTCAAGTTTCCTTACTCAGAAAGTTCAAAGAGCAAAGATGGAAGGAAAAGATGGACAAGCCCATGACCTTGTGCCTCTCCTTTCCCCTTAGGAGCCAGGGGCCAGATTCTGTCTCCTGCTGTTCCTGTCTTTGGCCAGCAGTGGGCTGAATGCAGGTCCGTCCCTCAGGAGCCGCAGTTTCTTCAGCTCACCTGAGGTGTGCAGTGGAGCAGGAGTAGAGCTGGGCTGGATGCTGAGGTCCTGGGCCAGAGGGGAGTTATGAAGTTGCAGAGAAGCCACACTTTGCAGCCGACTTGAGATGTGGCCTGGGCACTGACTGCTGGCCTCTCTGGGGTCTGGTCTGAAGCTAAGGCATGTCTTGGGGCTGCACTCTGTACCTCTGTGTGGCTTAGGAGGCTCAGGGAGCCATGATAAAGACTATGCTACCTTCTAGCTACTCCTACTGCTATGGCCTTGGCCCGGGGATTCCCAGAAGGAGCTGGGTGGTCAGAGCTGTGTCCAGGGAATATCCTTCTTTAGTCCCCATCCTCACAATTCCATCCTCACAGTAGGTGTAATGATAGTTTTCACTTTTAATTAATTGAGCAGAAGAATGCAAGTGTTAAGCCTGTACTAGATTGTGGGTCTAAGCCTGTACTAGATTGTGAGCCCAGAGCTCTCAGCTCAACTGAGAACTGCATGTGTGGGTCTTTGGTTAGTGGGACCTCCTGGGCTGTTCAGGATCAGTGTGTGTGTTGCTCTGCAGAACACTGGTTACTATGACATCCAGGCCCAGGACCTGGGCATGTGGCATGTGCCCAAAAAGCGCCCCCTGCAGCACTGGAGGAACAGCTCCCTGCTGAGGTACCGCACCAACACTAGCTTCTTCCCGAATCTGGGACACAATCTGTTTGGACTCTACCAGGCATATAGGGCTGCCGGCTGTTCACACTTCTTTTGGTGAACAGAGAGCCAAGTGTCTGGGGTGAAGAGTAAGTCTGCTCTGGGTTCCGTGTCACTAGCAGGTGCTTGTGCTTGGCTGTTTCTTCCACCTGTGGGTCAGGTGAACTCATGTGCTACCTCTCTCAGGTATCTGAGCTGAGCACGGGATGAGGCCTGTGGAGGAGGAGAGAGGGGGTAGAGAGGGAGAAGGACAAGGGGCTTGAAGCTAGTTAGGAACCTAGCTATGGGGTGGGGGGAGTGGGAAGGAGTCACTATTATTTAGACTGATTTCTGCATATTGACACCTGAAGGCTCTAAATCCCCAAATTCCCAATGTGGCAGCTTCTCTACTGTCCTCACACAACCTGTATCTTGGGTCCCTGCAGAAATACCCAGTGAAGTATGGATCAGAGAGCTGTCAGACTGACAATGGCCCAGCTATTCCTCTGGTCTATGACTTTGGTGATGCTGAGAAAACTGCACCTTATTACTCACCAGTTGGTCAGCGTGAGTATCTGTTTCCAAAGCCCAGTCATCAATCCTTCCCTGCACTCTTGGAGAAAGTGTAAATAACAACAATTAACAATTGCTAGCATTTGTTGAACATGTACAATGTGCCAAACTCTTTTCTAGGAACTTGACATGGTTTTGTGTCATTTAATCATCATTAGAACACTATGAAGTTAGAATTACTATCCTCTCCAATTTATAGGATATAAACCCAGGCTTCTTAACCAATACCCTGTATGGCTCTTAAAATAGTAAAAACTAGGCTAATGTTCACAGGTGAGAACAACTTGCAAAGTGGCGAGAGAAATTTATTTTTGTTATGATGGATAGCTATGATTTTAAAGAAGGTATTTTTTCAGCATAATAAAGCCACAGAATTTAAGTCTTTGGTGGGAAAACAAGAGCCATTACTTTTTCTTTTTTTTTTGCGGTACGTGGGCCTCTCACTGTTGTGGCTTCTCCTGTTGCGAAGCACAGGCTCTGGACGCGCAGATTCAGCGGCCATGGTTCACGGGCCCAGCCGCTCCGCGGCATGTGGGGTCTTCCCGGACCGGGGCACGAACCCGTGTCCCCTGCATCGGCAGGCGGACTCTCAACCACTGCGCCACCAGGGAAACCTGAGCCATTACTTTTTACATTTATTATTTCAGTGAGAGCAGGTAATGGTAGGTAGGGCAAATAAAGTCATGGTAATTGGATGAGAAGTGTGCCAGCATAAACAGATGGCCACATCCGATCATTGCTTATTGCTGCTGGACTTCTGGAGGTCTTCTTGCTGATCTTTCAGTGCAGTCTAATTTCTCCTATGAGCCTTAGGCAGACAACTGACCTCTTGTGAGCCCATGCCTTGGTCCTCTTTCCCCAGATGGAGGGAGGTTCTCTTCTAGCCAAGTTCAGGGTCAGAATGTAGCAGCCACTGTCCACAGAGGTGCAGGGCTCTCTCTCCCCACAACTTGGAGTGTCG